GGATATCGCACTCCACGAGCACACGGCAAGCAAAAACAAGAAAAGAAAAGCAATTACAATTAACACACCCTCCACTCCACACCACAAGGATGCCACACACACACACACAATGCAAACAAACAGCCACACACAAAGAGAGGGCAGCAGCAGTAGGGCCACCCCAAGCAACAATTACGAAGAGAAGGGAGAAACACATCCACCATGAAACAGCAGCGCACAGCGTGGGGCACCACACCCCGCGTCCCCAATGGAGGGGCTCAGCACACAGCAGTCACAGCCAGACCACCCAGCCACATCACAGATAGCAGCAGCAGCAGCGGAGGTGCATGCACCCACACAGGACCGCTGCTGCTGTCCACAGCCTTCGGGTCTTGGCCCTTGTCGGTCGGCGGGCTGCTGCCTGTGGTTTCTGCGGCACTCGTAGAAGCAGAGGAGGAAGATGGCTGCGATTGCACGGCATCACTTTGCTCGACTGCAGTCTGAGCAGTACTTTCAGCAGGCTCCAAATTGGTGCGATCGTCAGCAGAGCTCTCAGCCTTAGGTGAGTCTGGCGCGGGTGGTGAGGCAGCAGAATTCTTGGCGTCATTCTTCTCATCGAGTGGGCTGTCAGGTTTTGGATTTGCTTGCGGTATCTGGGTATTTTTGGTTTGGAGTACATCTTTCTCTCGCTGATCAGACTGAGTGCTCCTGTCCTCGTCCTTCGGTTTGCAATCCGTTTTTGTTTCTTTAAGCTTTCCATCCCCACACTCACCATCGGCGCTGCCAGAGTGAACAGTGTCATCTCGTGACTCCGGTTGGGTGCCCTGAGCCTTCTCATTACCACTTAAGGAGATTTTGCTGCCACCTCTTCCGCCCAACATGCTGCCGCTATCATGTCCTTCCCCAGGTTCGTTCTTTTGCACTTGTGCTTTTAGCGGAGCAGGAGTGGTCGAACACTTCGTAGGGTCCCCGCCTTCAGCAGGGCAGTCCGCAAGAGACTTGCCATCCAGTGCATCTATTTCTTTCTCCCCGTCAGCCTTTTTAGCCCCTGGTTCCCCCGCGGGACCAGCAGGGCCGGTTTGACCAGGAGGTTTTCCAGTTCCTGGCAGCAGGACGTTCCCAATACCACCGCCAGTACCAGGAGGGATAGCCCGCTCAAGTTGCGATTGCGATAATGACCCCTGCGGCAAAGAAGATGAAGACGTGCAAGTATGTGCGTCCGACACTCCCTCACAGGCCTCCTTGTTGATAGAAGTTGATTTGGCAATACGAGAGCCATTATCTCTTTGCGCATTTAGTTTATCGCTTCGTTCGCAATTATCCGCACCACTCTTCGTCTCCCCCTCGGGCGAAGTGCAAACGTTTTGCCCGGCCACAGTATTACCCTTCGGAGTCTCATCACCTCCGGTGTCCAGCGCTTCCGGACAAGGCAGTATCGTCCCGTCATCCCCCGGGCAAGTGTGAGTAGAACCCTCAGCTCCTCCTAAACCGAAACCACCGCCAATACCTTGTCCTCCAACCCCAACCACACCACCAGGTAAAGGGTTTTGTGGAGACTGGCATTGGGTAGCTTCACCGTTGTTGCAATTATTAGTAACTTCAGCTTCATCCTCAGCACCCGCCGCAGCACACCCGCAGGTACACCACACGCAGAGCACACAGACAAACAACACGTAGCGCATCATCATCACCGCCAGTTGTGACCTTGCAGAAAGGAGAGACAAAAGCAGACAGCGAGGCATAGGAAAGCCACCACACCACCACACCACACACCCCACCAACTCCGTGCCACGCCACCACCAGCACAGCAACAAGAATCCACCCAACCAAACACCCAGTGACGAGAAGCCGAGGCATGACGGCGGTGGCGTCTTGTTCCCGCAGGAGCGCACCCCAACAGCCAAACAAACAATGGAAGTGCCTGCCATCAAGTGTGCCCCTGCCACACACCCAACACACAGCTGCAGGCATCACACAACAAGCCCATCAAGCACCGCAGGCCCATCCCCAGTCACACACACACACACAAGTGAGTGGGCGGCGAGGGAAACACACACAGACGGGGGGAAACGAAAGAGCCGCAGCACATCCATACAGACGAATGTTGTTTGCGAAGCAAGTTGTTAAGGAATTCCCGCACAAAGCGAATGCACCCAGGCATCCTGGTGCCGCAGTACACACACACACACAGAATAAAGGGATATCGCACTCCACGAGCACACGGCAAGCAAAAACAAGAAAAGAAAAGCAATTACAATTAACACACCCTCCACTCCACACCACAAGGATGCCACACACACACACAAAGCAAAGAAACAGCCACACAAAGAGAGGGCAGAAGCAGTAGGGCCACCCAAGCAACAATTACGAAGAGAAGGGAGAAACACATCCACCATGAAACAGCAGCGCACAGCGTGGGGCAGCACACCCCGCGTCCCCAATGGCGGGGCTCAGCACGCAGCAGTCATAGCCAGACCACCCAGCCACATCACAAACAGCAGCAGCGGTCCTGTGTGGGTGCTTGCACCTCCGCTGCTGCTGTCCGCAGCCTTCGGGTCTTGACCCTTGTCGGTCGACGGACTGCTGCCCGGCTGGCTGCTGCCTGTGGCTTCTGTGGCACTCGTGGAAGTAGAGGCGGAAGATGTCTGCGATTGCACGGCATCACTTTGTTCGACTGCAGCCTGAGCAGTACTCTCAGCAGGCTCCCCATTGGGGTGATCTTCAGCAGCGCTCTCAGTCTCAGGTGAGTCTGGCGCAGATGGTGGGGCACCAGAAGCTGGGGCGCCATTTTTCTCACCGACGGTGCCGGGGGTGTTTCCTTTTGCTTCAGATGTCTGTTCAGTTTGCGTTTGGACTTTTTCCTCCACTCGTTTAGAGGTCTGAATAGTCTTGCTGTCGTTCGTGTTGCAAACTTTACCTGCTACCTTGGGTGTTCCATTCACGCAACTATCATCCGTGTCACCAGCGCCATTGGTTTCGACTTGCTCTGAAGGTGTGTTCCCACGTACCCCCTTACCTACGGGGGTGTTTCCCGTGTGCTCTCCTACATTCACCGTGCTACCTTTAGTATCTTTCACAACGTGGTTTAATTGTTGCTGTTGCGTCTGCTGTAGCTGAGCTGTATCTGGGCAATTCGTACTGCTCGCTGCGCCAGCCGTGCAGACCACACCCGTATTTTCCAGCCGGTCAGTGCCTCCCCCACCACCACCACTATTACCACCTGGGTCTCCCTTTACGGTTACCCCAGGGGTACTGCCAGAAAGTACGATAGACCCCTTGGGCCCTGTCGGCCCTCCGCCACCAGGAGATTGGCCGTCGGCGAGGGAATTCACTATCCTGCCGGTAGGCCCCGCCTTAGGCGCACACGGAACTTTTTTTTCATCGCCCGGTTCACCGGCTGTGCATAATTGATCATCGACAGCTAGCTGCTCATCACCTCCCTCGGTATCACCACGAGCCGCTACATTCGCCGTTTGATCATTAGGCCCCAAAGACCCATTTTTTGCTCCTGGGCATTTTTCCTTCCCCGAAGTACCGCAATTATGGCCATCAGAACCTGCTCCCGCTTCATCTCCCTCACACCCACAGGCACACCACACGCAGAGCACACACACAAACAACACGTAGCGCATCATCATCATCGCCGTCAGCACTGCTCCTACACACAGAGAGAGAGAGAGAGCAGAAAGAAACGGACAGTACAGAGCAGCATCCACGCAGCATTCAGTCCGCCACTTCAGTGCCGCACCACAACCACCCACACATACATCCAAATCAAACACCCAGTGACGAGAAGCCGAGGCATGACGGCGGTGGCGTCTTGTTCCCGCAGGAGCGCACCCCAACAGCCAAACAAACAATGGAAGTGCCTGCCATCAAGTGTGCCC